ATTAATTGTAATGGAAAAAGTATTTGCTAACATATTTTAGTTCTAATACATAAATGACAAAAAACAAAACAGAAATCAGTATGGATTATCATTTTTTAAAAACATAAAGCAATGTTTTTTTTTAATGCTTTTCTTAACTAAATGTATGCAGTTGTAGCATTATTATATAAAACACACAGTATATAATATGATATGTGTATATATTTATATATAATAATGTAATATAATACTAGAGCGCAGCTTAATATTAAATTTTTTATTATTATTTTTTAACTTTCACTTTTTCTTTTACTTCTGTAATCCTGTTACATTTGAAGGCTTGAGTATGCTGAGTTTCAGAATGTAACCACTTTATTGTATGTTATCTATTTTACATTTAAAATATATCCATTTATTGCTCGTAATATTTTGATGGATATAGTTTTTGATTGGTTATGAATGCTGGACAGTGTTTTTATAGCATGATTACAAGAGAAATTTTAAGAGCGAGAAAGTTGATATGTACAGACATTTATTTCTGTATTTTCAAGAGGAATTCTCACATTTATATGCCTGTTAAAAATACAGATATGAAACATCTTTGAAGTAGATATTTGTGTGTAACTTTTGCAGATTTTTATTCGATATCTAGTGTGCTGTATATCTTTACCTAATATTAGCGCATGAACTTGTCCGATATGTTAAACATGATCAACATGGGAATTACCTTTATATGCTGTTCCCCTGTTCTTTTAGCGTAGCTGACGATACACATTCATATAAGTATATAAATAATCACACTTCACAGATACTGCCAGCATGTTCGTTGGATGGTTTTGTGCTTCTAAAACGCACCACAGCAGAATATGAGATATAATGATGCTCTTCTCTGAATTAATTTTGCATTGAATCATTTTTCACCCTTTATATAAACCCCCTCCCCACCCCCCCACCCCAACATCTCACGGAGGCCTGCTCATCTTAAAATGGAAATTTCCAAAACATTGCCTGCCCCTAAAATCAAGATGATCAAAGTGACCTAATCTTCAGGTCACTGTGTCAGAATATTAGCAAGAGCTCCTGTTATTTTATTAATATTTATTTGTTTATTCAGGGTGTATTTGGAGAAACTTAAAGAGTCTGTTCAGTGTAAGGATGTTTTATGATTTATATGATTTATGAAGGCACAGATGGCTTACGCGATTCATCATGATATGACAATCGCTAAACCATTTAGGTCAGACAGGGTGAAAATTATAAAAGTAAAATAAAATAAAATAAATGAGGAATACAACAGCAAAAAAAATATCTTTTTTAAATTCATATTATGATGCCCACAATTTCTTCATATAAAGTCGCACTGATCCGTGACTGTAAGGCAGTGATGCTGCGATGGAAATACTTCCGAATGTTCTGGGTTTAAGCATATCAGAGGGGTGTTTCCCTACACATGGGGATGAGTTGGGGGGGGGGGGGTGGCGAGGACGGAGGTCTGGGGCTCGTGACAGCCAACATTGTGATCCTGGGAGAGACCGTGAAAGTGAACATATCCTGCAAACCTTTCTGACACCGATCATTCTTTCTTTCCATGTGTTTCTCCGATTTCCCCTACAACAGATTTGAAGCTTTTGGAGGCGTCGGTATTTGTGTTTGATTTTTTATGCTAGGTTGTGACTCGTAAAAAAAGAATGGGCAGACTGATTGAAATATAACAAATAAATATTCCCCCCCCCCACCACAAAGCTTAGAACTCCATGGCAACACACATTAGCCAATTTACTATGGAAAGTTCAGCCTGAAGAGAGCATGAGTTCTAAAAAATGGCCGCTTCCCCTCCACGGAGGAGACGCGTGGGAACAGGGTGCGAGGAGCCCAAATGCATTTTGATCAGGCTGGTTAGAGGATAACGACCTTTATTAGCACGCTGTTGATTCAGTAACGGTGCTACGCGATAAATAGATTAGCCCTTGTGAGACTGACGGATGTTGGTTAGGAAAGTCACTGCTAGCCGTGGATGTTAGTGGTTTAGAGCCGACGGTCGACTGTGTCCGCAGCAATCCGGTCGGAAATGCAGAGGCGGTCAGCGGGATGTGGTCTAACAAATTAGCATGGGCGTGTCAGAGTGCTGCCTAAATGCACAACAGGAATGTTTGTGCTTCGTGGTGGTTGCGGGTGACAGCAGGAAAATGCATGCGGTCTGCCAGGATAGTATGGGGAACGTGGAAATTTTGGCCCGAATTCTGTAAGCTGCCAGAGACCGGCCTTATTGTTGCAATCCAGGCCGGGACGCCATTGTGAAACATACAGTATGAAATTCTCCTCAAATGTTACATTCCCCAAAGACAGTGATGAAATAGATGACAGGACTTAAATATTTAAAGGATGAGGAAAGGAGAGATTTTCTGTTATTGTTAATAACGTTGCATTATCAAACTCGGCAGGATTATTGTTTTCATGTTGCGACACAAATTAAATGCGTCCCCACAATGTGTAGGTCTCCATCCCCCAAGGCGACCCAAACAGATGAGCACAGACTGGTGGTCAGAATGAGAAGTGCAGCTCGGTGGATGGCTGGTATGCTGTATGCCCTCCTTCCTGTACTGCGTTCTCCTGTCTGGTGATAATTGGACGCTTGACCTGCGACCAGCAAATCTTAGTGTCTGGCGACATGATGAATGGTCTCAGGATTTCACAATCGCTACAGCCTTCTGCCCCCTGCAGGTTAAAATCGGTAAATACCCTTGGCCGCTGACATAGCCCTTCATGTAGCTATGCTAAATTCCTGAATGTCCTGTTGCCATTGAGATTTCACCTTCAGTGTAAATATATAAAGGCCGCTGACTGTCACTGTTACCCCTGATGCATTTTAATTACTGGTCGCTATTTTGACACCCGTCTCACTGTTCTGTGTCTAGCCAGCTTTCGTTTAGTGTAATTCAGCCCCGGAAACGCTGGTGAATAGTGCTTCAGGTCCACAATTTTGATTTCCCGAGAGCTGTGGGACCCTGCAGCATTTTGGCCAGAGAACAGACTCTGCTTATTTCTGATCCTCTGACCATACGTTTATATTCCTGATAAGTCGAAATCCAAAATATATGAGTATGTGTGTGACATTCTGGGTGTATTCAGTATATTCAGCATAAATGGCACCTGCACAGTAAACACAGTGGTGTGACTGTATACATTTGCAATTTTAGAATTAGAATTAGCTTTATTGTTCCCAGATGGAGATTCTAGAATTTAATTGTACGCAAATGCAGATATATCTGTGTGTGCGTGTGTGTGTGTCTGTATATATAGTGCTTTGACTTCATAGAAACATGTAACTAAGGTAACCAAATTAGCCTGGAGCAGGGCCTCCTGAAGGAGATTATTTCGGCCATGTTTAATCCCTCCCGCCTTCTGCGGATCTCTAGAGACTGCAGTTTAACGCCTGGATGCGGCCTGCAGGTGTGTTACGGGAAGATGAAAGTTTAACGGATTGACGGGGGCTGGTCATATGGACTTGCTGGTGAGGGTCTGGCGGGAGATGGTAAGGGGGTGCGGATTCCTGCCGGCTCGCTTGCTTACCTCGTCTTCCAGGGGCTGCAGCCCCCACAGATTGTTGATGGGCGACGATTGAGAGGGCTATACCTGCAGCAACCCCCCTCAATGACAGTTAATCAGTGTCATAGTAAAAAGAGGAAACGGGCAAATCCGCGGGCAGCCCCGGGCTTAAGGACCCAGACAGGAAAACTGCTGGATCAAATCCCAGCAAAGATCTTTGATGAAGGACTTAATGTACACTGCCTGAAGGTGCCTGAAATGTGACGCTGCTGGTTGTCTGCGTTAAAATGGGGAGAATCTGGGCCCTTTGGATGGAAGGCAGGAAAACAGTTCAACACAAGAACTGGCTCCTTTCAAGAGACACTGACATTTGACTGACAGCTTTACAGAAGATGTGTTGCTCGTGGCAACCGGTCATAGCAACCAGTGAAGGTGTGCGTGCCTGGTGTTGAAACCAAAGCATATAAACTGAAATAAACTGTTTCAGATTATATACGTGCTTGTACACATTAAGAAATTGATTTGTAATTAGTGGGATTGACATGCTGTATGGTAACAGCCGTAACAGAATCTATCCATCCATCCATTCATCCCTTTTCCACTTGTCCTAGTCAGGGTTCCCAGAGACTACTGGCATAAGACAGGGAACAACTCAGGGTGGGGTGCCAACCCATTGCAGGGCGCGCTCACACACCATACATGCCTAGGGGCATCCCCATGTGTGGGGAACCGCCCATCTGTGGGGGGGGGGGGCAGAGTACCCAAAAGGAAACCCCACGAGCAGAACATGCAAACTCCACACACATGGAGCCACGGTGGAGATTCAAACACTGGTGTCAGAGGTGCGAATCAACAGTGCTAACCACTGCACCACCATGCTGCCCCCACGTATATTATTTATTATTATTTATAATCATAATAACAATGTAGTTAATGTTTTTAAGTGAATGTCTTTTTAAAATGTTACAATTTATTATTATTTATAATCATAATAACAATGTAGTTAATGTTTTTAAGTGAATGTCTTTTTAAAATGTTACACAATGAATGTTTGCTGCAGGTCTCATTATTGACGCACAGTGTGTGTGTGTTTGTGTGTGTGTGTGGTTGTGTGGGTGGGTGTGTGCCCATGTGTCTATACGTGTGAAGCCAGTCAGCACCCCCCCCCCACGTTCCTCTAGCTCTTGCTGAATATTCATAGCTCCCGTCTAATTGATGCGTTCCTAAGAGCACATTATGCAGCTGTAATCAGGATCGCAGTGAAAGATGCACCAGTGTGTAATATGTGAACCTAAATATTCATCACTGTCCTCCGAAGCTTAGATGAGGGGTGTAGAATCCGGCTCCCAGATCCCAGCAGGATGGACGGTGTCCAGACAAGGGACACACCTGGACCACCCCCCCCCATAACATGTCAGCTCTCCTGCTCTTTATGAGAAAAGCACATCAGTCCGTTTGTCTTGTTTCGTTCACAGGGCCCCAGGGTCACCAGAGGGTGGACAGTACCAAGGCCCATCCATCCATCCATCCATCCATCTATCCATCCAACCAAGGCAGCAAGGAAAATTCTGGAACTGTAAGTAAAACCCAACGCCAGCTCCCTCTATGTGATAAATATTGTACTGCAGCTGGCATGGTATGGTGGTTTAAACACGCCCGTGATCCCGCCTCCCTGTAGCGCCCGCTCGCCCCGCATTCCCCGCACGGCCGTGATCCCGCCTCCCTGTAGAGCCTGCTCGCCCCGCATTCCCCGCACGGCCGTGATCCCGCCTCCCTGTAGAGCCCGCTCGCCCCGCATTCCCCGCACGGCCGTGGTCCCGCCTCCCTGTAGCGCCCGCTCGCCCCGCATTCCCCGCACGGCCGTGACACCATCTCTATGCCGCGTCCGCCTCCCATCTGCACTGCTAGCGCCTGCCGTCTTGCATTTCTGCCAGCACGTGTCAGGTAGCACCCTGCCTTTAATTCTGAACCTGCCTGAATCCTATATGCATTTAAACTAGCTCTTTTTAGGGTCAAGTACCTTCTTATTTGGTTATATTAATTACATTTATGTATTTATGTTGTTATTTAATTGAAAAGGGGGAGCATCCTTGAATCCACACTCGCCGTTTGCTGTTTGCATTTCATTAATTCAGCAGCCGCTCTTATCCAAAGTGACATACAACTGAGAAAGCAGGTCGGACCATCCCTGGAGCAACTGGGGTTAATGCCCTGTCTCAGGGGCTCAGTGGAACCATCACTTTACCAGCTAAGGGATTCAAACCAGTGACCTTCCGATCACAACACCGTAAACCGCTGAGCCACACAACAACAGGGCATAGCCCTGTGTCACGACAAAGTCATAAACTGTAATGGCTGAGACTGCGATTCCTTTCAGAAACAGTGTAGCCATCCCCACGTTATGGTTAATGTACCGGCGCTCCTGTCCTAAGCTGCCACTCAGACAGGAACGTCAATTGCATTGTGGGTAAATGCAGTCCCAAGGAATTGCTAAAGTCCCATAAAAAAAATGTGGAAGCAGGTTTCTGGCACAGGAAGAAACCACGCTGGGGGTCCGGACTCCATGAGCCCCCCCGCCCCCCCCGGTAATCCAGGCACAAAAGCGGGCAGTGAAAGAGGCAGCGTGGCCATTGTGAGCAGCAGGGCCAGACCAATTACCCCTTTGAGCGGCTTGGCACCCGGGGCTGGGGCACGCGCCCGTCTCTGGGATCCGCACGCCGTGCGAAATCTCCTTATCCACGTTCAATTAGCCAGCTCCAGCCGCGGAATCCGGCACTGCATACAGCCTGCCGCCCCCCTAAACCGCCGGCACTGCACACAGCCTGCCGCCCCCCTAAACCGCCGGCACTGCACACAGCCTGCCGCCCCCCTAAACCGCCGGCACTGCACACAGCCTGCCGCCCCCTAAACCGCCGGCACTGCACACAGCCTGCCGCCCCCCTAAACCGCCAGCACGCCTCGGCCAGCATACAGGCCCGGCACAGTCCGCTAGCTGCTGTCAAATGATGTTATTTTAACTATTTTTTAACAGTTGAACAATCGCGTGGGGGGGGTGGATCTGAGCAAGCTTTAATCTGTCTTCGCTCTAAAATAACTGTAGATAATCTTGTTTTTTATGGAACAAAAACTGACGTTGCTTTTCGTGCAAATCTTTAGCGATGCTTTTTTTTTCATGAGGGCAATGCTGCCTTTGCAGTCAGAAAGTGAGATTCTGAATATTTTAAGGCCATTGTTCATTTTGTAGATCGTTGTCACTCTTAGCACAGCCCTGCCTGACTATCACCCCTATTTATGAAATTCTCTGAAGGTTAATTGTCACTCTGTCACAAATCCCCCCGTTTCTGTCATGCTTGCCGCTTGTCTTCTTCTTGCGCAATGAGCAGATTAGGCGACATCGCACTGGACAAAGCAGATTCTCTTAGCCAGATAATTCGTCTGTTTCGTATTCCAAGTTTGCGGAGCTAATTAAGAATTCAGTCCTTTTGGGCTTTTCCGTAGCGCGGAGATTACGGATATTTTTGTCCGTAAAAATACAATCGGCAAATCCTTGAGCTGTCCGTCTCCGCTGCAGGCCTTCCCCGCTTTTCCAGAGCTGTGCCTGTTTGGAATTATTCGCACACAGCTGCCAAAAGAGAGCCTGAGTTAATTTGCATTTATCTATTTAGCAAGTATATTAAACAACAAAACTCAGCACAGGTAAGTAGATAAGCATAATGAGTGACTGCGTAGGAGGGGAATTATTAATCACCTAGTCGTGTGATCAAAAAGCTAAATATAAAAAAGATTTAGACAATAATTAGGAATAAAATAAAATAGGACGAAAGGTTAAAGACGGTGATATAAAGTACATATGGTCTTCAAGACTGGAACCTATCAAATATCACCATCTGTCTTATTGCCGATGACTTTCTACATCACTGCTCTGCACCCTCAAAGGATTATGGGAAGGCTCCTGTGATTTTAATCCACCTTTAATAAATGTCTGAAAATATCTTTTTTTTTTTTTTTTTAAATGACCAGTATAGCTATTTTTATTGTAGGAGAAAAATATCTCCTAAAAAATATATATTTTTTCTGTCTAAATGTCCAGCCTGAAAACCTTTCCTGCACCCCTAAATTATGGAGTTTAAAGGTGCTCTTTGATTCACATCTCTGGCTATCTATCATGGTGAGTATGAGTTTGGGACGTGGTACAGTCAGGGCTCTTTCTTGACATTCACAGACAATCTGCTTCATTTTATCTATATCTGATGCAGAAATATTTTTTCTAGCTCAGAATTTAAAAAATGCTCTGGTGTTAATTACTGCTAATTAGATTCTCTTATCTGCCGATTCGTTTAGCTTGTGATTCTCATGCAGCCCTGAGTTTTTATATATTTATATTTTACACACAGTGAAATTTAGTGTGTATGAATAATTTCTGATGCTGCTGGATGTCATCTTGGCATATAGGTGTAGGCCAGACGCCCACCAGGAAAGACCCCCCCCCCCGCCAAGGCTGTCCCTAGGCACCCATACGCTGTCACGGCCGGGGACTAATAATAAGCTGCGTCCGTTGCAAGGCTCTTCACTGTTTAACGGCAAAACAGCGACCTGGTTTGGAAGCAGGGGGCCCAGGGCCAGCCGGAGAGCATGATCCGCCACCGGCTGCCTGGGCTCTCCCACGCCATGCGGGGTGAATAGGGAAGGCAGTGCGTGTGCGTCTGTGTGTGTGTGTGTGTGTGTGTGTCTGTATGTGTGTCAGCAGTCTTTGTGTGCGTGTATGTGGCCGTGTTGTAAAAAGTCCAGATCCTCTGCTACATGAATAAAACGTTAAATAAAACCATTCGACTAATTTTACTTGAATTCCAATAAGCATCTGATTTTGTTTAAGCCTCTATCTTCAGTTACATTAGGTCATTTTAGACGATAAAATGACTCTTTCTGCCTCTATGGGGACACAGACTCGAGGCTGGTCCTTTGCCCACACACAGCTGTGCGCTATTCGTCTGAATGCGAGGCAACCTCTGCCTGGGACTGTGACAGCGACTTCTGATAGACGTGCTCCCTCACCCTCACCGTAGCGTCTACATTTCTTGGAAAGACGCAACTTGCGAATTCATCACGCAGTTGCATGCGGCGTGGCGTGCATGCGTAATACGGGTGGTCAGGGTGCTTAGCCTGAGCCTTCCTGGTATCGCACAGCACAGATGCAGTGGCATGGAAAGAGATGCTTCCTTCTAATCTGGGTACAGCACCAGCTCGGCACACCTTGGGGGGGGGGTCGGAGAAGGGACCCGGGTTACCTCGCTTTAATTAACACACTGCACCTGCACAGAGCTCCTAAAGTATGCCATTTAAGGAATCATAGCTTCTACATTTACGGGAGTCATAATTTCCCACAAAATAAAAAATCCCCTCGATCTTGTTACCCCTCAGTGCTGCTCACGTTTCCCTGATACCCCCATTTCGGTCTGGTTGACATTCATATACTGAAGCAAGCAAATGGGAGGCAGAAAAGCAAACGTGTGTATCTGCATGCGTCGCGCATGTGTGCATGTGGTACACGCGAGTGCCTTTCAGAAAGGAGGCAGAGCGGGCAGCTTCACAACAGCTTCGAAACAGGGCTGCCATGGAACCAGGGCTTTGGTACGTGCCTCCTGGATTCCTTATACACATACGCATCGCGCTCTCTCTCTCTCTCACACACACACAGGTTTGTAATTATATCTTTGTGGGGACTCTCCATTCATTCCTATGGGGAAAACTCTAATCCTAACATGAACACCTTAATCCCTTCCCAGCCCTAACCTTAAGACTTTTGGCTTCTTTAGTTTTTTGATTGCATTAGCAGATCTTTGTGGGGACCTGTGTGGGGACATAATCCACACACACACACACGCACACACACACACACACACGTGTGCAGTCCCCAGTCTGCTCTTTCACACGCTTGCAGAGCAGCCAGCAGACTGACTCTGGCAGGAAGACAGTTGCCAAGATACACATTAGGTTGGATCTCTTAGTTGCTTAATGGACACCCCCATCCTAGGTGACTTTGGGGGTTTTCAGGTTGATCCTCGATTCATTTGCACAATTGAAAAAGATTATGAAATGTGGGGGTACAGCAGAACTTTCCGGGGACCGTAGCTGGTTACGGTACAACTGCCTCCCCATGCCTGGCTCCCTCCATGCTTCTGTGAGGTGAGCAGTGACACCAGCAGGGTGGCTTGGACGTGCCAGGGAAGAACCTGAGGGACAGCCAGTGACCTTCTGGCAAACTCCAGATGATGGTGGACGGTCGGGAGATGGGCCTTGGTGAGATGAAGCCCTCTGGTGGGCGTCTTGAGATGAAGCGTCTTTGCGATCTGAGCATCTGTATGACTTGGAGTTCGTTGTCTTTTGACCCTTAATTGGTCAGACAGAAGGTCCCCGTTAATGGTGTGCTCCAGAGAGAGACGTCTCGAAGCTGTCTGTGGATTTCTGGGCCGGCTCCACGACAGCCTGGCCTTCAGAAGAGGCCTGAAAGATCCCATGGAGACAACCAGCCCCTGGTACTGGTCTCCAAACTGCGCATGATAATTCTTCATACTGCTTCTCATTATCGTATTTCCTACCTGGCCTGTCCATCGGCCGCAAAATGCACGACGCAAATCCGTCACGGCATTACTGAGAGGCAGCAGATGTCTGCAAACCACCCCTCCCAGTCCTCACCACCTCAAGCTAAATTTAGACCAGGAAACATCTGAGCTTGTGCTAAGAAAGGTGACCCACCTCAAGCCGGACGGATCCAGCTGCATCAGTGACCGCAGAAATTGCCGGTCCGCTGCAGAAATATCGCATTGCTGTCCCTCGCAGTCAGCTGTTGGCCCTGCGATAAGATTAACGGTCATTCGGCTCTATTTCTCGTCACAGTGCGAAAAACGCTGTTTTACGATGTGCAGAAGCTTTTCGAGTTCTGCCTCCTTTAATGGACTCAGTCAAGGACCCGATGCCCTGTTCTTTTGATGTATTCATGTCATTTTATCAGTTATTTCACTGTCCTCATTAAATCCCTGTTTATTAAATTTCTGTATAAAGTGAAATATTAATATGGGCAGAATGAAAAGATTTTCAAAACAGAAAAATGGCATCAATAAAATGACGCAGAGTCCACCCTACAATGTAGGACAGCAGAGCAGAGTAAAAGGAAGGTACAAGGTAGTGGCTGTTTTATGACAAATGTGACGCATTTCTGTCAGTATTCACGACTGATGTTCATTTGGCATGTCCCAAACACTGCCACACAGGTCCTTGCCTTAATTCTGCGAACTGAATCTGTTACCTTGACAACCTTTGGGAAGGCTGGATTGGTCAAAGGGATCCATAGGCTATGCTGAGGCCTGCTCCGTTAAATCCTGATACCTTTATTATTAATCACACTGGGGTTTACGCTCAGTGTCAGGGTGACACATTACGGTCCCCAGTGTGGAACACCTGCCAGATTTGGGATGGGACTCCTGCCATGTTCTCTTCCAGGACGCTGTACGGTATCTGACTGCTTCACTTTTTTGTCTCTGCCCTGATTCACGGTACTGTTTCACAGCCAGTCGTTAGCATTCACAGGACATGGCTCAGTACAGGAACTACATGGGTCAATTACAGATGGTGATGTCACTTCCTGGAATTGAGGAAATAGGGTCGCCAGTTTTATGGAATTATATAAATGGCTGTATTCAACAGAAGCTCTGCTAAGAGTGATATTTACTCCATATAACTGTGGTTTCAGTGGTCACCTCTGACCTAATTATGACAATTAATCAGATTGATGAACAAGCTGGATTCACCGCCACAGTAATAGCAGAACAGGTTTAGGCTGAATGGGCTGGTATCTGTGGTCAGCCTCTTCTAACATACTTCAGTCTTCCTATGATGCTGCAGAGGGGGTGTCCCGTTGCATCATAGCCTCTGGGGACAGCTAAGTTGGGCAGGTGGGTCCCACCTTGACGTTACTCCCCTAAGAGTGTCAATGCTTCACATGCAGGACACGTGTACGGCACGTGCGGGTTGTTGTGGGACATGTGCGTGTCGGGGGGGGGAGGGGGGTTGCACACCCCCACCAAGAGCAGTGATATTGTTCGCCTGAAGGACACTGGCAGTCATCCAGAGTCCGGGGTCGGCACTCAAAGCCGTTTAATTGAAACCGTAAAGCAGCTCTTGGCTCAAACCCCGTGACAATGGGATTGACCCTGCGGGGGGGGGGGATGTTCAGGGGGGTGAGAAAATGGGGGATTAGGCAGGAACGCGATGGAGAGATGTCATTTCAGAGAGCCGACAGACGGACTAGCGGACGGATGTCTCTCCTGGAAACAGGTCTCACCAGTTGGTCGAGGTCACTGGGCCAAATGGTAAGGAGTGGTTTCGCTCTGGCTCCGAGTGGCCCAGATCACGCCGTAGTCACATTTTGGGACTCGTAGGATGTATCGTGCCATCAAAAGATCCACCTAGTACAGGGATGGGGAACCTGTTCCATGGAGGGCGGGGCGGGGCGGGTTTTTCGGATAGCCTCTCCATCAGCCAATAATAAAACAGTGGTTCTCAACTCCAGTCCTGGGGACCCACTGTTATTGGCTGATTGAGAGGTCATCCCAAAAACCTGCACCCACACCAGCCCTCCGTGGAACAGGTTCCCCACCTCTGACCTTGTGAAACGATCTGAAAGAGGGTGTAATCCATGTAGCAAGTGTGAGTGCGGCTTGCTGAAAGCCTTCCCTTGAGTCCTGCCTCCAGATTCATGTTATTTTTGCCGACACGGTGAGTGTGTCAAGAGTGAGTGGGAGAGTAAGGGAGACACGCTGGAGGACAGGAAGTGAGGCTTTCATTTGAAAACCAAATACGTGTGAACCGTGCGTTGAACCTCACTCTCGAGGTTTAACTCTGTCGTCTGGCCCCCTTAATGCCCGTCATCTCGCATGCAAAGCGCAGGCTTAAAAGCCTGTCTCCGCACCATGCAATTACGAATCTCAGCTCGGGGAAGCGGCTTAGGTGGCAGGGGTGCTTGAAGAACAGAGCAGGGGATTGTGGGTAAAGTCTGTCAGGTGTCAACGGCGGGTCTGCCACACTCATGTCGAATCAGGGGAGACAACTGCCTCGCCTGCCTCAGCCTGGATTCCCCGTCAGACTTTCAGTTTCACACTGTGGGAATAAAAGGCTTTTCTCTCACACATACACACACACACACCGCGACACATACGCGCACGCTGACAGCAGCTGCGTCAGAGGCCTCGCAGCAGCATCGTGATTCCTGTGGGTGCTGCAACTGTCACAAAGCGAAGCTCGTCCTGTGCGGCTGCCTAGCGAAGTCACAGGCTTAAAGAGCTTAAAGTACGTGTTTGTGAGGCCAATTCATCAGGTCCTTATGAATTTTTTAATCATAAATGCAACATCAGCAGGCTGTAATGGCACTTTTACACTGAGACAATACGGGTGGTCTTTTCCATACGGATCCTCCTGCCTCTAAGGCTTGAATAAAACAACATCTGAGGGTGTTTTCTGTTTTGTTTTTTTTGTGGGGGGGGCAGGTCAGTTCTACTTTTGGACACCAGATGCCGACTCCAACTGGCAGAGGGGCCCAGATTTAAGCCAACAGGAGCCACTTAGCGAATGTAATGTTGCCTGAAATTTGTCGCGGCTCATCTGGATTTTCTCCGCCCACAGGTCGACGGACGGCAAGCCGTGGGTAGGGGGGGGTGCCGGTGACCTGGGGGGGCGGGGCAGCTGGTGTTGTGAATCAGGCCGCCGAAGTGAAGCCCGGCTACTTCCCAACACCAGGGTCACACCCTCACCGCGATCGGCAGCTGCGGGGGGGACGCCCATGCGACAGCGCGCAGCTCTGCTGAGAAGATGTGGCCATGTCGCAGGTTTTGAGCTTTTATGCGCTGACACCTGAAGAACGCAACTTCACTCCACATCAGTGAATCCATCAAAAGTCTTGCATGTTTCTTAAATTTTGCGTTGAAATTGTCACTCCATTGTCTTTACCTTGAAGAAGGGAAAAATCCAGATGGCCACAGTGGAGAAGAAGCCCCCCCCCCCCCGAACTGAGAGAGGAGGCACAGAGACAGTGTGTCTGTAAAGCTGCAGCTCCATGCTTGTGCTGGGGGGGTTAGGGTAATTTTGGACTGAATGACTGCTAACAAAATGTTGTTGTGGATCGTTTGTAATTAGATTTCATTTATAGGTGTATTTTTGTGTATATGTTTGAGCATATAATAGGTTTTTGAGGACAGTTTATTGCACTTGATTGAATACATTTAAATATTGTTTTGCTTTTGGATTTGTCTTTTATACAATTCTGAAATTTAATGATAATTTGAGTATTATGCAAATACACTTCAATATATGTATATAAATCTGATGGTTTTGGATGTCACATGCATTGTTGGTCTCATGAAAAATGTATTTCCCTAAAAACTTTGCTTCATGAGCCTTTTGGTTCAATATTAGCCTCGCTTTCACTTCCTGTTCCTGGAGCTCTTTTGCGGGGGTCACGAACACAGCAGCTCGTTTTCACAATTGGTATTTTCAGCACATTTCACATGTTGCTATCCTGTTTATTTCTATTCATATCTGCGTTCATACTCGGCTGCACGCTTGGAACCTGAAACAGTGTGGTAGGACAAGGTTATATCGTATTTACACTTTCAAATCTTGCAAATCTGATTTGATCCCGGCTGTAGAAAATATTTCATTATCTTGCAATACAGGGATGGTGCTGAAGTTGCTCTCGAGCTCCCCCTAGAGGCCAACTTGCTCTTCACTCTTTGGGTGGTTCACTTGCGACATTGTGGTTCTACTCAAAGAGGTTTATACCGATTATGAAAAATAAATACTAATTATTACAATTATGACAAGCGTCACAACCAGAACCCCCAGTGCTGACAAATCACAAAATAAATATACAGACGATGGGAGTAAAGAAGTAAAAGTTGTTCAATGTCGATTAAATGAAATTTGTGTAATAACACAATGTATAATATAATAACTTACATTATTAATACAATTAAAATCTCATAATAATAATCATAATAATAATTATTATTTTTATACTCAAAGTGAGCAGACGATCTAGCACAGAAAGCTGGAATTTTGTTGAAAATAAAAAAAACATTGAAATGTATGGAAAAGCATCTCTTTTGGTGGAAAAGCAGCCCAGTCCCCTACACCCACAGCTGGTCATTGGCCATTCCAGATCCCGTGAAGATGCCCAAACAAGAAACGACGTGGGACGCGCTCCATGTGTGGACTGACCTGACCGACCCCAAATCCTGCCATGCTGCAGGGGCCAAATCGGAATGAGCCCACAGAGGGCGACACAGAGCGGTTTGGTCCATCTGGTTAATGGTTAAAAACATGGGCGCCCACATCAAATGCCAGTGCATTTTCACATTGCAAACAGTCACTGTTATAACTGCTGCCAAGCAGAATGACGTTCCAGTGAATACACAGTACTTGCCGCATATTGGATCTGACTGCTGAAATGAATCCTGATTAGCCCCCCCCTCTGTTCTTAATCAGATGGGTGCTGGTGCCACGGAGAGGCTGGTGACGAGGTATTAAACGATGCCCCCCCCCCCAACTGAGAATGTTTTTAACGGCGGCTAACATCTGCCCTCCATCCTTTCTCCTAGCGCTACATTTAGCAACTGTTGCCGTGGTGACCGCAGGAGGCGAGGGGCAGAATGGGGACGGGGGGGCTGGATTCCGCAGGTTCTCCCCCGGTAACGAGGATTCCAGGCCCTCGAATGCTTTCCCAGCTAAACATGCCCAGGTGGTTCCAGTTAAGGAGACTGATTGACTCATTAAAGGCCCATTTAAACCATCTGAGTGGAGCTACGGGGAAGATGAGATGGTCGGCTGCGAGACAGAGAAACCAGCCTGATGGCTCTGCTTGGATGAATCATTTCCTGTTAGGTATTCCTTTTAATTTCCCTTCTATCCTTGTTTAATTAACATTTCCCCCTCTCTCTCTGCCCTGTTCTTTATCGCTGCCTGGCCCAGCAAATCGTTTCTTTGTAAAAGTTGAGGAGTTCATGCTGAAGCCCTCAAACCGTTGGTGGGCACAGGTGGGTAATGCCCCCCAGGCATACTTCCTGTACACTCTTATTTAGAAAGATGTTCCTCTATGCAGCTCAAGATGACACGGAAGCATTACTGTGCTCGTGACTGAGTATAAGTCTCTTTAGGCTATGTGAAGTCTGTCTGCTACGCACTGGATATCTAAGAGGACGGTACACAAAGCTGGATTGCTGCTATGATCATGTGAGCCAGAAGCTATACGTCCCAGATCTCCCGGAAGTTCCCGGAGTCTCCCGCAAAGTGACACCAGCTCCCTGACACCCGCAAATGATGCGCAATGTCCCAGAAATCTGTTGTTCCGCCATTCAACTGAGGCAATATTAGCTGGCAAGAACTTTTTTACCACTCTCTAGCCCCCATCAGCGAATCCGCCCTTAGTCGGTAATATAAATACGGTATTACCGTAATATCAGCCAAGCATTGGCCAGCATCCCCGCCCTGCCGGTGCCCCTCATATCAATCAATATCTCTTAGGTGGGATGTTTGAACAAACTAGTTTCTTCACTGGCTGTGTTACTGGTTAATACTTCGCACATCCAGTGAGTTAGCACTGGAATAAGACATGTAAAGCATCCTTAGAGCCAACTGGTCACTAGCACAAAACATGGGTGTGCAAACTCATTAAATTCTAAGTTACGGAAATGAAATATCCCATTTGAATAAAGTTAAATATGGTTTTGGAATGCTGACTGCAAAAGACCGTGACAGGGAGGGGAATCTTGTTTGCCCCCTTGCATCAGTCGGCTTTTATGTAATGCATTTATCTAACGCATTTCTCTACCAGAATAGCTGAAGATGAAGTATTTAAAGCCCTCATCAGGCGATGAATAATTTTTTGCTTATCGTACATCAAACGGCAATGAAATGATAAGCAGTGTGCTTCCGTATAATTTTATGTTTCTTCGGTTCACCCAGCGTTGCTATTGGCGGTTTGATTCGCTGCCAAAAGATCACATGACGGTACAGATCATGTGACCGTAACACCTTTGCTCTTTATCGCTCTGATTTCAAGCCGTGGCTGGCTAAACCTTGCAAAAGCTGAGATAACGTGATGAAAACTGTTGATTTAGAAAAAAGACTTGTAATCGTAATTGTAAAACAAATCTGGGCATAGATGGATCTAAGGGTTAGCCTGGGTGGGTCCACCAATTCACATTAATGAAAATATTTTTTGTAATTATTTTGATTCTTCACTACATTTCAATGTGAATTGTTTTCTTATTAATTATTAAAATTACGTATTAATATTTAGAACTTCCCGTTTTATGTTTTTAACTCGCGCCTATTTTGTTTTATGCTGCTTGTGCAAACATTATGGCTAAACAGCTACCATTGGCCCATTTATAATATATATATTTTTAAACCACATCTGGAGAAGGACGAAAAAGGATGAAATCTAAGCCTGTTTAAGCAAACATGCCGTAACGAGCTTTATTCAAAACTACTAACGGCTTTGAAGAAAAACTCTATGCACTTGAAAATTGTTGGACCTGAACCGCCACGATTCAAATGTATCCTAAGATGATTGAGCTAATTTACCTCGCATTATCCCTCTTCCTTTAATTACTTTGTCCTTCACCCCTATAATTAACCGTATTGTTTAAGGATAACACTTACATCACAAAATTCCAGCAATCCTTGAAAAAGAATCAATTCTATTTTTTATGTAAATCTGTTATGTTTTGCACTGAATTAACTTGTTTCATGCTATGAGGTGTTTGGGGATTGAGAAGTTCCTTCCTACGGCCCTACCCTGAGCAAACTGAACTGAAGGGATTTTGGTTCGAAGAGATATGGCGCCCTCTTATGGAACCTACGAGGGGATTTTGCGTCGATTTTCTGTGCATGTGGAAGATTAGTAGACGTTACGGTATTTTATTAAAAATTTTCTTGACGTGTAATAAACTATTTGTTTAAACAAATTTGCATTTTAAAAATAAATAAATAAAATAAACACACCAATGTGTCTGTATTTAGATGTTACTTGACCACAAGATGTGACTATAAAAAACTTACCCTTTGATGTCATCAGTAAAATCCATAATAGGATTGACAAATATAATAGAGGAGTAACTTAAACGACTGAACATTTTATTTTGGTAGATAGACTCAATTCCCAGACATAGAATCAATCACTTTCCAAACTGTTTCAGTTAAATTTTAAATTACATCTGGAAGTTTTGCTCTTCGCTTATCATACGGAGTCCATTGTTTAACACCGTGCCCATCCTCTCCTCCTTACACCCAGAGTGATGATCCCAGGCACCCATGTGGCATGGGGGCAACAAGCCAATCCATGATCACGGTCGGGCTGGAGGTGAATGTCCATCCTAACCCACAGCATGATCTCTTTGTAGTTTTTGCTGTAGTCTTTTCGAATTGGTTGTTCTGGGGTCACCTGACTGTCTCTGATGCCGTTTGCCTGTGTGAGCCCTGTGATGGACTGGCATCCCATCCTTGGTTCCGGCCTAATACCCTAAGCGTGCTGGGTTCAGTCCCAGGCTCACCACAACTACTACAATAACTGGTTAGATCTTGGACTTTCAAATTGGATTCATGTGTTTTTCTTTTTTATTGATTGATATACACCAGGGGTCTCCAGCTCCGGTCCTGGAGAGCTACTATCCAGTAGGTTTTCTGTCCCACTTGGTTTCTGATGAGCCACACCTGCTCCTGGTATTTACCTGAGAACAGGTGTGGCTCATCAGAAGCCAGGTAGGATAGAAACCCTACTGGATAGTACCTCTCCAGGACCGGAGTTGGAGACCCCTGATATACACACTGCAGAGTCCTCTAGATCAGTGTTTCCCAATCCGGTCCTCAGGGACCCACAGCCGGTTCACATTTTTGCTCCTTCCCCGCTCCCGCCAGCAGTCCACATTTTTGCTCCTACTGGGAGCTGGGAGGAAGCAAAAACTTGGACTGCCTGTGGGCCCTAAGGACTGCATTGTGAAACACTGCACTAGATTAGTGGAGTGTGGCTCAGCAGGTTAGGATACTGCTAGCAATCAAAATGTTGTCAGTTCAAATCCCAGGGTCAGCAGAGTGATTTCACTGTTGGCCCTCTGATCAAGGGCCTTTACCGGCAACTGCCCCAGGGACAGCCACACCCTTCTTTCTCCATTATATATCACTTTGGATAAAATCATCTGTTAAATAAATGTAAATAGGTCTCATGTCTGCCCACAGTTAATAAATTCCTCAGTGCAGACGTATGAACAGGGCCATCTGCTGGCTCAGATGACCATTGCAACTGGCATGAACAGGCACCCTGAGGTCCTGAGCACCTTCCTCTCATTGGCTTATTAACATCACAAGGGTAATCAATGGTAATTTAATTGTGTTTTTAAATATTTGCGTATTTCCTTAGGGCTAAATCCATAATCGGTTTCTCCATAGCCAAGATCTTATAATTGCAAAGGTTCAGCATGAAGAGCTCCTGTAGTTTCTTGATGTCCACTTTTGCCCACCATCCCTTATGGGACATCTACCAGCATGGTAAGAGAAGCATGGTGCTCAGCGCGGTAGATTTCATGGCTACCTGGGAGATGTCCGTGGATTCCAGCCTGCTTTGAAGCTGAATTACCTGGAGCACGGTGGAACCATGAGTGGCCACTCAGCATGCTAGCCACCCAACATGCTAGCCACCCAACATGCTAGCCACTCAGCATGCTAGCCACCCAACATGCTAGCCACTCAACATGCTAGCCACCCAACATGCTAGCCACCCAACATGCTAGCCACTCAGCATGCTAACCACTCAATGTCATGCTGTTCTCCAAGCTTCCTGAGCTGGGCTTCCCTCTCTTTGGGCTGCACCCCTGTTGA